ACAAGCAGACAGACAGAGAGACAGACAGACATACAGGCAGAAAGGCAGACAGATAGACAGAGACAGACTGACAGGCAGACAGACAGAGAGACATACAGGCAGACAGACAGACATACAGGCAGAAAGGCAGACAGATAGACAGAGACAGACTGACAGGCAGACAGACATACAGGCAGAAAGGCAGACAGATAGAGAGACATACAGGCAGACAGATAGACAGAGACAGACAGACAGACTGACAAGCAGACAGACAGAGAGACATACAGGCAGAAAGGCAGACAGATAGAGAGACATACAGGCAGACAGATAGACAGAGACAGACAGACAGACTGACAGGCAGACAGACAGAGAGACATACAGACTGACAAGCAGACAGACAGAGAGACATACAGGCAGAAAGACAGACAGATAGACAGAGACNCAGACTGACAAGCAGACAGACAGAGAGACATACAGGCAGAAAGACAGACAGATAGACAGAGACAGGCAGACAGTAGTGAACAGCAACAGTAAATAAATGACAATAAAGAGTAACAGTCCCGAGAATGTCGGGGAAAGTATTGCACAGAATCCCATACTAATGCCTCAGGATGGACAGTATTCCGCGGTTGTTTCTGTCTTCGGATCAGCTGGGGTTTGCCTGTCCCTGCTTCCCATTGTCACTCTCCTCTCCCTGCTCTCACAGTGGCCCCCCCACCTGTTGGCAGTGCCCCCCGCATGACCCGCTCCAACAGCATCCCAGCCCACGACGGCACTTTCGAGCTGTGCGGCGCCTCCCCCCTTGGTAGCACGCTGTCGCTGGTGGACCGGCCGCGGAGCATGATCCGCTCCGGATCCTTCCGTGAGCCGGGGGATGATGGTGAGCGCGCTGCCTACCTTTGCTCGCACGCTCCTGCTCTGCCCGCCTCTGCTATTCTTCACAGCCCTGGGTTTCTCTCGCCATTGTGCAGCTGGGCTTGTTCACTCACTGCCAAGGCACCCTCTGTGGTCAGGGTTTACATTTACATTACATTTTTACATTTCATTCATTTAGCAAATACTTTTATTCAGAACAAAGCTTTCATCCAAAAAAAAAAAACAGTTTGACAGTCCCTGAAACAATTAGGTCCTTGCTCAACCCTGGGATTGGAACCAGCAACCTTCTGATCACAGACACACTGCCACATACAAGCTTAATGTTCCGAAAACAGTATCTCCAGGGTAAAGAGTCCGACATTCACACACTGCTAATCTTGGAAATTTTGACTGGAGCAGGGGCATCGATCCTGCAGCCCGTCCGTCAGCCACTGCACCATAAGGAGACATTTGCTCCATTTAGGCTGCGCCGCTTCCATTAGAGCTTCAGGGAAGTGGGTGTGAGAATGGTTTTAACGCCTCGCGTTTCCTCTCCCCGCCTGTCTCTGCAGTGCACGGCTCGGTGCTCTCGCTGGCGTCCAGCGCCTCATCCAGCTACTCCTCGGTGAGTATGAAGTGCGACAGTATTCATAATGGTGCCATGCAGAAGTATGATTACCATACTCCCGCCGAAAGAGCGAATAGCTTTGGGTGTCTGCAGCGATAGCCTGTAAATGTATCCATAACGTAATTACAGCACAGATGTCTGACTCCTTCATTTACTGGCCTCTTCTCACAAATGGACTCCGGAAATCGATTTTATTATGACCCATTAATCGGATTGGATGGCCCTGCTTTTAAGACTCTACCCATAATCCAACTGAAGCATTTTGTTTGTTCATCGGAGGCCAGTGTTGGGGAAGTTACTCACAAAAGTAATCCATTACAGACAGGTGGAAAGTTCAGGTCCAGAAAGTACAAATCCAGACCAAGGTTTTGTTTCAACCAACCAGTTGAGTATAAAGAGTCACAATCACAGAGTACTCAACTGGTTGGTTGAAACAAAATCCTGGTCTGGATTTGTACTCTCTGGACCTGAAATCTCCACCTCTGGTGACTATACTCGGTTGGTAGAAATAAAACCTTGGTCTGGATTACTGGATTACTTCTGTGAGTAACTTCCCCACACTGTCAGCGGCTTTCCATTGACATGGGTATTGCTGTTTTTGAGGGGACTTCCTATTGGTTCTCAGTTTAATATGAATTATAATTGCTACCAAAAAACAACTCAAAATGGATGGACATTGATGGATTTTTATTTTTTAAAAAGCTGGCCAACCATAAACACCCTGTTTTACTTGTAATGGATGTCCTTTTTCAAATTCTTTAGTGTTTGTGTCACTTTTGTGTGCATTGAGACTGCAGAAACATTAGATTAATTAGTAATAAAGTAATTAGAGATGATAAGCTAAAATTTTACATTTAATGTATGACAGCTGTTACCACACACTCCCCCCTTTCCTAGACCCTCGCCTCTTGCTCCCAGCTCTTTCATCGCAGCCCCCTCCACCCCCCCCAGTTCCCTGCTTTGGCTCTAAATGCTTCTCCTGTCTTTCTCTCCTGGACCCGTTTGCTTTTTCAGGCTGAAGAGAGGATGCAGGGAGAGGTGAGTCTGCTTTTTCGCACTCTTCCTTTTCTCCAAAATGCTTTCCTCACCCTGACCACTGCCCAAAGGCCAGGAAGAGTCATTCACCAGGCTGTAGGGGGGGGGTGGCATGTTTTCCTTGTTGTAGGCCTCATCAGTTTAGGGCTTTGACATTTTGGTTTCTCCCACTTCTCATCATCATCTAGCCCTGTTTGAAGACTCCATTTCCCATCAGCCACCGTGTTTCCCAGCATGACCTCACCGTATTTGCATAAAACAGCTACCCCCGTCATTTTTACCATCATCTGACCTGTCATGACAAACCACCTCACATCTTCTGCTTCTGAAGACCCCCGAATGATCAGTGTCGACATGAGTCTGTTTTCAGCGCAGTCCTCTCCACCTTCCCACATTATCTGATCGCTAATTTTCCTACCCCACAGCAAATCCGCAAGCTGAGGAGGGAGCTGGAGTCTTCCCAAGAAAAAGTGGCAAATCTGACCACCCAGCTGTCTGCTAATGTACGTATGCAGTTCAGTTCACCTCCTACTGTCTCAGGGGGGCGCTGTCTGGCTCAGTGAGTTAGGGCTCTATGCCGGTGATCAGAATGTCGCTGGTTAAAATCACAGATTTGGCAGAATAGCCACAATGACTAGTGTCCTGAAATAAATCATTGCGGAAGTAATTGTCCCTTTCCAAGACTGTAATCTGCAACCTGATGTGTCTTTGCCATTTTACAAATAGTACATTATGCAATATAGAGTAATTCCTTGTTTAAACTGGGCTATTCCATGCTAAGCCTTATCAGAATCTGAGCATGCTCATTAATCAGAGGGATTCCCCTAATGAATCCCCCTGTTGCTCAGATTTTCTGTATTGAATGCGAATAATTAACAATGACATCATAAGTATCCTTCTGTGGTGTCCGTGTATGATCAGACGGACTGAGCGGATTCTCATTCGCTCAGAAGATATGCGAGCTTACCACCGAGCGCAGGATTGGGGCCTCCAGCGGATTCCTGCAGGTTTAGGTTCATATGAACTTTGATGTCGTGCTTTTAATGAAACCTTTTTGTTGTTTGAACTTGACTGAAAAAAGAACTGATTCATAAGACTCTTCTTAATAGACTTAGTGTAATTTAATACCAGAAAAGGCTGTTGAGGACCAAATGATGGATATCACAGAATTCTGGTCAGTTTTGTCTTACCTAGATTCAGCTTCTGGGGCTGAATGGTGGGGATCTGAAGTTCTGAAGGAGCTCACACACACACTGGTGTCTGATTTTGAGAAGATGAGCTCTTGTCTGTGAGAGACAGGTTAATCCCCCCCCCTCCACACACACATCATTCTCCTCCTTCAGGCTTAGTGAGGGTCAGGGTTGAGTCATAATTCTGTTTGGGAAGCAGTGAAGATGTCCTTTAATGTAGGAGAATGCTCTTAACGGGAGTGCAAGTTATTCAGTCTAATGCAGCAGGCATACGGACTGTGAGAAACTGGGAAGGTTCCGGAAATGCCGCTGGAATTACCAGACTCCATCATGCTGAGGAGATGAGGCAGCGGTGATGTGGAGCACTGGGAACTAAGAGGACCTGAGAGACCTTGGAAGGTCTGAAAGACAAGATGAACTTTCTGAATGCAATGCAGAGGCCCTTTACTAAGCAAGATCATTCTGCCCTCTACTGGTGGTCAATGGTAGCTGAGGCAGTCACTGAACCCCAGGAGTGTAGTGTCAATGAAACTTTTACTGTCCATTTAAAATATGCAGGCATGCAATGGAACCAAATAACGTGCAGTGGGTAGACTATACACCGCTCACAGTGGTGGAACAGTTGCAGTAGTAGAACAGTTCCTCTGACCTAGATTTACAGTTTCCCAGAGGAAGAAGGTCCTCATCTGTCAGCACAAACCTCTTCAAAATTGTCTGGGGAGGTCCTCTAGATGTCTAGAGTCCCTCATAAGATGCATGACCAATTTACCATTATCATAATGGGTCTGGTCATCGTCTCCACTGGTTCATTAATTTGGGCAGTGCTGAGTAACTGTCTGACCCCTACATACTCGTTGCAGACATCTCCAGGCTCAGCCTGTGAGGTTATCCTCTGAGTGGGGGCCTCTCTGCCAGTTCAGAGGAAGCTGGCCCTCTTACCCATCTTCAGCAGCACATCCACAAACTCAGCGGCCGTGACGGTCTTGTCTTATCGCAGCACGTGCTGCCTCGTTCTCTCTCCACTTGTGATTCGCCTTGCAAGGGAAGCGTCCCTGAAAGATCGAGTGGGGTGCCGGAAACCTCCACACTTCAGAGAAAAACAGCTAAATGTGTTGAAAAAGAAGCGAGTTGGTCCAAGACATACGTGACCTGCGCCCCGGGTCTGCACCTTGTCAGTGAATCAGCCAGGCCGTATGTACGCTCTACAGCGGATATCCCACAGGTTAACGAGGCTTTTGGCAAAGGCGAGGCCCTGCAAAATTTATATCGCTGTCAAAGCTATTCCACTCCTTGTTCTGTCGTCAAAATTAAGGTCTGTATGTTTGCAGTGTGGTGTGGTACAGTGGTTAGTACAGTGAGTGGTGCAGTGGTTGGTGCAGTGGTCAGCACCCTTGCCTCACACCTCTGGAAGCTGGGTTCATATCTCTACTGTGGCTCCATGTTTGTGGAGTTTGTATGCTCTCCCTGTGTTGTTGTGGTCCAAAAAAATACTATTATGCACTGGAATTACGAAATTGTGTATATGTGTGTGCATGGTGTGTGAGTGTGCCCTGTGATGGGTTGGTGCCCCATCCTGGGATGTTCCTTGTCTTGCGCCTGTAGCCTCTGGGACTCCGGACCCTCCCCGCAACCCTATATAGGACAAGTGGTTACAGAAAATGGATGGATGGATGTTTTCAGTGAATATCTGCAAACAGAACATCATTTAGGGCGTGAAACCTGAAGACATTCATGAGTAAAATGGGAAAGCAAAGGGAATCTGGTGCCATGTAAATGTTGTAAATTGTGGATAATTTGATAATATCCACTCAGACTCTGGCTGTTTCATTTGGTCCTGACCTGCAGGTTTGGTGAAGTGAAACTGCTCATAATGGAGACACTGAGCTGGATTTTATCCTTGTAAGGGCTCATTTTCTATAGGATTTCCATCAACCACTGATCAAATTTGTGGGGACTTTGTGCGTAGAGGATAGGACTTATTGGATGAGCATGCTCTTTAGTTATACGTTCTCGCCCCCTTCTGGCTGAACATATGCAAGGCAGATGGAGCTGTGCTCTTTGTTCAGACGACAGATGTAATTATGTGGCCATCATTAAATATACTGTAACAGGCTGCTTCATTTAAAGTATTTACATGCTGCTCACATTGAACCAAGACATTCCTGTACCTTTTTTTTGTCTTGGCAGAAACACTATTAAAGCTGTTAAGGGCTACATAATTTGCATATACTTCAAACTGCCAGAACTAAGTTTTGCAAAACTATGGTTTATGGTTTATTGATAAAGTAGGTTTGATGAAAGTTGTCCATGTGCAGGAGGTAGCTTTGGGATAGGCACCATAACACTCAGTGATTGGTCGCAGCCTCTCATCGTGGACACCCGAGCTGAGCCCTCCCCTCTGTGTGGGAGGGGTGCACGCCGGTAATGATGTCACTGTCCTCTGCTTTCCTGCAGGCCAACCTGGTAGCCGCCTTTGAGCAGAGCCTGACCCTCATGACCGCACGCCTGCAGTCCCTATCCGTCAGCGCCGAGCAAAAGGTATGTGACTTCCATAGAGCAATAGTGAGCATACTATACTACTCTACTCCATATATGGATGTATACAGAGGTGGGGCCACTGAGGCAATAGACCCAAGCTGAAAACTGATTGGTCCCCAGAGTTCCTCCTCTCCCGTCACTCCTTAATTCAAAACACATCATTGGTTAATGGTAAGGTTGCCTCCTCTGTATGAATTATGGCCCCACTTATGCTCGCCACCATAAAAAAAAAAATCCTAGAATCGTACTTGCCTGGGTTTAAGTGAACCAGAGGGGTTTTATACTTCTACGATATTGTAATTCTACCTGGGAGGAAACACAATACCACAAATGCCTTAGGGCTGAGCAAAGGGCCAGAGTAGCCCTATCTCCTCTGGATAACGGTCTGAGAGAGGGAAAGAGAGAGTGTCCATGTTCTGCTCTCCATCGTTCATGCCCTAACTGCCTCTGGGAATGGACCATCTACTCTGTTACAGATATTGGCTCCAGAGTTAAATTTCTGTGGAGTCAACTGTACGCTCCCCCACCACCACCACTCACTGGGGGCTCTTAAATGATGCCTGAATAAGCAGCTTATGAACCTCTCTGTGGGCTACTAAACTTTTTTTTAACAGGAATGCTTTTATTTGATATCCCGCTTGAGCAAAAGAAGAATGTCATTTCTCTCCATCTCTAGCAGTAGGGTTAGTAGTTGAAGGTTAACTTTTACACTTTTCTGTCCTAAGGCTTAACTTACCTACATGTATGTGCTTCTGAACGCAATCTGTGGTCCTTGCAGGACTCTGAACTGTTGGACCTGCGTGAGACCATCGAGAACCTGAAGACCAAGAACACAGAGACCCAGGCCGTCATCCAGGGGGCGCTCAATAACCCCAACATGACTCCCAAAGGTAGGCGGAGACCAGGATTCCCAAAGCGCGGCACCGAATGTGTGTGTCGTAGCTGAACGGCTCCTGTATCACGCGGCCATGCTGTCCCGCAGAGTTACGGATCAGGCGGCAGAACTCCTCTGAGAGCATCTCCAGCCTCAACAGCATCACCAGCCACTCCAGCATCGGCAGCTACAAGGACGCCGACGCCAAGAAGAAGAAGAAGAAGAGCTGGGTAGGGGGCTATATCCACAAATATGCCAGGGTGGGGGGGGGCTGCAGTGGTAATTAGGCAGTTCTAATAGAATTTATGTGAAGGCCCTCCTGGATTTCTTGGGGTGTCATTGTCTTCCAGCACTCAGTTGATTAAGTAAAGTTATTATTTAGATAGAAATGAGCTGAGTTGATTTCATACTTAAATAGTTGTCAGAGCTTTTCTGGTTGATTTATGTGCCCAGACAAATCCATATCTCTGTGCTTCTGACTTTCCTGTGAACACCTCTGCTCCATATGTCACGTTAAATGTGCCTCTGGTCTTGCCCCTCTGCCTCCTTGCATTTTATTTGAGGTGTTTGAGGTGAGTTGCCCTCTGCCTGACCCTTTGCCACTCATCCTAGCAACTTGTACTTTGAGATAAGTGCAACATTCCATCTTACAAATGCTTTACACAGCTTTACACTTTCACCACAGTATTTCGTTGGGTCATGTGATCATTGTCCCATCAAGAAATGGGGCCGCATCCCATTTTCTTGCATATAAGTGCAGTATCATTGGTTGAAAGTTTTTTTTTTGTATCGTGGATATCTTGTCTTCAACTCTTCCAACTAACTAGCGATGTGTTGGAATGCTGACCCTGCAAGCAGTTAGCATGGTGCTAACGCCTCTGCACCCATATTCCCTGAGATCTCAAGGTGGCCTGTGCCCATCAGTGGATAAACGGGGCCCTAAAATCATGTCCGTAAAGTCATGCTGCATGTTTGGGGATCAACTGATCTTCGGCATTCACACTCCTGTCTTCTCTGTGCCTTTTGTCTCATTTGACTGCGTCCATCTCGGGGTCTCTGCTGTTACTCAGATGATCTGCTACAGAAGCTTGTGTCTGTGTAGTTTTTATCTCCCAGATACAGTAGCGTGGGATGTCTGAATTAAAAAAGGAGCATGAAAGGTTTGGTGAAATTAATGGCAAAATATGCAATTGAAGATGTGCTACTGATGAAGTAATTCACTGTTGTGAAAGTGTTAAGGCGGGAAAATGTACGGCTTCATAGTTAGCGTTTGCTTCTGATTTTATCTGTTACGACCATTAATGCAATGTGCAAGTATATGCATTTTTTAAGCAAAATATAAACGCAAATAAATACGTAATCCCTACCAGTGATGTATATCATTGCAGTGAAATCATGATCATGTGACCTGCTTTTTCTCCCTCCACAGTTAAAGAACTCCTTCAACAAAGCCTTCAGCATCAAGAAAGGCCCCAAATCAACTACGTCCTACTCGGACATCGAGGAGATCGCCACACCCGACTCCTCAGCTCCCTCCTCCCCGAAACTGTCCCATGAATCAGGGGACGCGGCCCCCGTGTCTCTCCAGCCCCCGCCCTCCGCCGCCTCTGCTCCGTGAGTCACGTTATCACCTTTGACTCATACACCGCAATGGTATGAGGTATCTGAAGAGGGGAAATCGATTTACTGTTGAGTTGGGTTGATCAGCTGAATTATTAACAAACACCTACATACGCAAATAGCTTAAGATCATATGCTACCTGTGCTTTGGTTCATGTAGTTCTTCAGTATATGTGTCCTAACATGACCTTCCTAATTTGGTCTGGTCATAGAATTGCTGAGGGAACACAGGTGACGGAAAATGATGAAAAGGCGGTGACAGACCTGCGCTCTGAGCTGTGGGAGAAGGAAAGGATGCTGACGGACATCCGGCTGGAGGCCCTCAATTCCGCGCATCACCTGGAGCAGCTGCAGGAAGCTATGAACAACATGCAAGTGCGTGTTCCTCGGTGGAGCTAGAATGTTCACCTTCCATCCCATGTGATTGATATTACAAACTACGCAGTTTGTTACCCCCATGCAGTTGACCTCACGCTGCACGCAGTTGATGCTACGCATTCTGCAGTTGACGTTTCCCCCCATGCAATTCACCTTGCACACCATGCAGTTGATGTTATACACTATGCAGTTAACGTTACACCCCACAAAGTTGACGTTACCCCCAAACAGTTGACGTTTCACCCCACAAAGTTGACATTACCCCCCACACAGTTGGTCTTATACAACCACAGAATTGATGTTACATCTAACACATTTGATCTTCCACTACTAGTCCAACAAAGGGGTGATTGTTCCTCTACTCTCTTGTCTTCTGGAGTTTTCTGCTTAGCACAGCACACTATGTGTGTCTTTTTTTGACAATAAATAGAACTAATCAGTTTAGTTCACTAAAGCAGCAATACTGGGTTACTTTGAGTAAAGTGTGAGAATAATTTCATCACTCGCAGTCGACCGTTGAGAACCTCAAGGCTGAGAATGACCAGCTCAAGACTGGGACAGTCACCACCCTCAACCCTGGACCAACTACTTCCACATCCCAGCCGTCAGGTCTGACGTCACTCCTAGCCTCATCACCACGACAGTCTATGACCATGACCCTCACAAAGTCTTTCAGCATGAGCCTCAATGAGAGCCCTGTGCCAGGTTGGTTCAGATGTTCAGATGTTGAGATATGTGTGTAGAAGGTGTGAAGAAAGGTATATAACATTTTCCATCTTTTTGCAGACATCTCCCCAACAAACGCATTGAGTCTTCTCCCTTCCCAGAAGGATGATTGTGTACGAGTGGTTGTCTGCATCGTTGATCAGCATGTCTTCAAGGATGTGAGCCTCCTTCACTTTCGTGCTCCTCAGAAAACATCTACCTTGGCACAAAACTGTTATAATAACCACCTTATTAATACTGACAAATTGTCAGTAGAACCCTGACAGTGCTATTAAAATATCTAGTAAAACTCAATTTATGGCAATAGCCTCTGGGCCTTTTACACTGTTTTGTTGTTTTTTAGTGTAGGAGTAACCATATCAACAATCCAGACATTTATAGAAGGCAGTTGTGACACATTAGCATGCTACAGTATTGGTTTTGACAATGAGCTTCTTGGATGAAGCCATCCTCTCCTGTGATCTTCTTTGTTATTCTCCAGGAAGTAAAGCAGCAGGACTTCTTTATTGGCTCCATCAAGGTCAATGGCAAAACAGACTGGACTGTGCTGGATGCAGCCATCTGCCAGGCCTTCAAGGTGAGTCTTGGTCCATCACCTTTCATTATCACACACCTTTCAGTATCATTTAGTTGTATATTTATTGGAGCAATTTTCGTTGAATATCTCACGGAACCATTTAAGCATGGAATCTAGTAGACCATAAGACCATCATGTATAAATATACCCAAGCTACTGATTAACCCATCTGTTTATCACCAGGACTACATCAACGTAGTGGACCCTGCCTCGAGTCTTGGGCTATCCACAGACTCCATCTACAGCTATCAGATCAATCATGGAAAAAGGGTGCTTGGGGCGGAGCCTCCAGAGACCACGCCTTCCCGCTGCATGGCCCAGGGCCCTTGCAATGTCATTGTGACTCTGAAAGGTCAGTTGACTCTTGATGCAGCCTCTAAAGACAGCATTTGGTTTCATACCTTTATTCCAAAACTTCTTATTTTACTTCAGGCCACATCAACAGCTTCCTGTATTTTATATAATACTCTAAAGTCTCTGAATTATCCTTGTACTTTTCAATGACTGTACTCTAGCTCCTGAACATATTCCTTTTACCCTGCACATGACACGATGACTGACATGCTTGTACTGTTCAGAAGAGAAAGTCGTGGGAAGCCTTGGGTATCCTCACAGGCTTTTGTTTCTGCTCTTGCGCCCAGGCCTGAAGGAGAAGTGTGTGGACAACCTCGTCTTTGAGACTCTCATCCCCAAACCCATGATGCAGCACTACATAAGCCTCCTGCTGAAGCACCGCCGCCTTGTCCTGTCCGGCCCGAGCGGCACCGGAAAGACCTACCTCACCTACCGGCTGGCCGAGTATCTGGTGGAGCGTAGCGGCCGTGAGGCCATGGAGGGCATTGCCGTTACCTACAACATGCACCGTCAATCCTGCAAGGTGAGGGACCAGCTAGGTTTTCAGCCATCCGTCCATCCATCTTCCATATTCTCTTATCCATCTATCATGGTGGGATGCTCTGAATCCCAATGCACTGTCCGCTGTACACGTTTGTAGTGATATATCTACATCTTGTCCTAACATCTACTTGTTTCTGTTCTTAGGACCTTCAGCTTTACCTATCCAACCTGGCCAATCAGATTGACCGGGAGAGCGGTATAGGTGAACTTCCATTGGTCGTTATCCTCGATGACATCAGTGATGCTTCGGCGATTAGTGAGCTGGTCAATGGTGCTCTAACCTGCAAATATCATAAATGGTGAGTGGCAGTTGTGTGATTAACGAAATAGGGGATTCACAGATTTTAGATGGGCTTGAGCCTATCTCAAATGTGTTTGTTGTCCATTTTCATCATTTCAGCCCATACATCATTGGAACAACTAACCAGCCGGTGAAGATGACGCCCAACCATGGATTGCATCTTAGTTTCAGGTGAGCATACAACATCAAAAATTTGTGCAGAGGTGGAAAGTTCAAGTCCAGATAGTAAAGATGCAGACCAAGATTTTGTTTCAGTGAACCAGCTGAGTATAAAGAGTCATAGTCACAGAGTACTCAGCTGGGTGGTTGAAACAAAATCTTGGTCTGGATTTTTTGCTTTCTGGACCTGAATTATCCACCCCTGAATTTGTAAGTAAGCCAATATGCGGATAAAGGTTTGTTGTAATATTTCTGTGTTGTTGTATTCCCTTGTTTGCCATCTTCATTGTGGTCGCATTAGGAAATTGAGTAAAACATCCCTTCCGGCAGCTTTAATACGGAAGGGAAAAAGATTTGTCAAGTTCTACTTGGATGCTCTCTCTCTGAAGTTCTCTTTCTTCTCTGCTGTTCTGTTTAAGGATGGTGACGTTCTCCAATAACGTGGAGCCAGCCAATGGGTTTCTTGTACGCTACTTGCACAGGAAAATGGTTGAAGCAGACAATGATAATTTGGAGAGCCAGGGGCTTCTACGGGTGTTGGACTGGGTACCAAAGCTCTGGTATCACCTCCACACCTTCCTGGAGAAGCACAGCACTTCTGACTTCCTTATTGGTATGACTCTCTATACACAAATGCTCAAAGATTCCCTTCTGTGGCACTGCAATGTGTAATTCTTTGAATTTGTATGTGTATTGTATTTCTTGTGTGTACTTGTGTATTTCTTTCTTTTACATAGAAAAGGAGCAGATTAAGAAAAGCTCAAATCTAACTATTTGATATTTTCAGTTATGGTCTTGAGGGAGAAGATGGTGACGTTAATGGTTGAAATATGCTATGCAAATCATTATAAATTAGTTATTAGTTAGGTCATGTGAATTTACCGTTAGCAACAAGAGAGTACGTTTCCATAAGGCTGAAGAAATTTGGTATAAATGTTTTTGAGCTGATGGACTTTGAAGGCTGTCTGGTGTCATTGGCATGAGCGGTTCATCGGTGTGTCTACAGGACCCTGCTTTTTTCTGTCCTGCCCTGTGACCGTGGAAGAGTTCCGCTCCTGGTTTATTGACCTTTGGAACCATTCCATCATCCCGTATCTGCAAGAGGGTGCGAAGGATGGCATCAAAGTGAGTGATTGCTGGAATCTTTTTTGATGTGTCATGGATGTATTCTTTGATGTCCTGGTGGGTCAACATGAGAGATTTAGGGTTCCAAAAAGATGTTTCTACTCCAATGCTGCAGATCCATGGTCAGAAGGCAGCTTGGGAGGATCCAGTTGAATGGGTGAGGGGGACACTTCCGTGGCCTTCAGCCCAGCAAGATCAGGCGAAGCTGGTTCACCTGCCCCCACCTACCATGGCTCCTGGAGGTGTGGGACAACCCAGCGAGGACAGGGTGGGTAAGGAGAACCTGCCCAGCTCTATGGAGTCGGACCCCTTGGTAAGTAACTTCCGGATCTTCATGACAACATTCTGAAAACCTTCCAATTCCATCAGTATCGTTGCAGTTTGATGCTTATACTTCTACTCCCTTGTAATCTGTACCCAAAAATGTAATTTATTGAAGGAATACAACTGAATTATATATGATTTATACAAAACTCACATTGCATTTTTGAAAATTTGAATCTCACCATGCTTGTTTCTGGTCGAAAAGAAGAGCTAATGTTAGCATTATGTTAGCATTATCTTAGCATTATGTTAGCATTATCTTAGCTTTATGAAGCCACTTGCAATTCATGTGAAACGAGGCTCACCACCGTCATCTTTCCAATCCAGATGGCCATGCTGCTGAAGCTACAGGAATCAGCCAATTACATCGAGTCTCCTGACGGAGAGACGTCGCTGGATCCCACTTTCCAGGCAACCCTTTGAAAGCCAACAGGACGCTGAACCCTGAATCCTCCAGACAGCTAATGCTGTTACACCAGGACCTACGGTTGGTCCTGAAGGCAGCAGAGTTTGTCTTCTATGTTAGTTTTGCAGAGACAAAATAAAATATCATTATCTGTTCTATATTTACTAGAACTCAAAAATATGACTATTGAAAACTACACCTAGCAGGGTTTTACCTTATGAACAAATAATTTTCCTATACTTTTACAATTTATTTAATCTTTAAATGCATGGCAATCATTGCAACAATTTCAAAACTGGATTTTTTTTTCTTGAAGAATATTTATGATATATCGTATATATATTTACTTTAAGACGATGTCCTCCAACTTGGGTCCATTACTGTCCTACTGCTGCCCTCAAGAAGGAAACAGGTGCTCATCCGAGAACCTCCCTGGTCTTCACAGCTTGTGTCCTAATATGCACATGTGACATTAATTATAAAAAGCTGGCCCGTGACCCACAAAACTTTGATGCAGTAATAAGACCCTGCTACACTGGTATACTCTGTGCTGTATGATTGTGAAATGCAGTTTTCTATAATAAACATTTCCCCATTCTTATTTAAAAACAAAGAGCATCTATGTCCTGTCTAAAGGTTATTATGGACCACATTATGTTGCCAGTCACAATCTTACTGAATGACAAACTGACTGAATGACAAACTTCTGAATGGCAAACTGTGACATATTTCATTTGGCTAAGATGACTCTTTACCCGTATAATCTATGAAATTCCTAAATATTTATGTTTAAACAAGCCAGATCAGATCTTGGAGAAGTAAACCCAAAATGTCCAAGCTGTGAAGACCAAATATTCGAAAAGTATGCAATTTAATAAACACACTGACACAAATGGTGCTCAAACAAAGGCCTTAATATATTGAGTCTCTAATATGTCCTGATGCTGAAGATCATTTTTTAAATCTCATTTTAAAAACAGGTACTGTAAGTAGCACAGGAATTAGATTTTTATTAATTTTATTTTAGTTGTAAGTACCGGCGGCAAATTGCAGGAATAATGGTACTTTTTGAGTCTGAACCCACAAAAAAGTACGAGTGTAGTTAAAAAAATTCACTTTAATTTGCTGATGTTATAGTTTTCAAGAGGGTAGAGTATTTACTGTACACATAACGGAAAACATCCAGAATGCCCTACAAGTGCAGTTCATCTGCTAGTCACATGGGGGCAGTATTTCCTCTAACCCAATGTTCTCGTTTTGATTCATTTTATTCACTTACCTTTTCCATCGTCAACACTATTACCAAAAGGTTTCAGTCGGATATGACTCGGAGTAACAGGGCAGAATGGAATTTATGATCCTGCTTATACTGAAATTTGGAGATTTTGTGTGTTAACTAAATAACATCTCAAATGCCAATCACCCTAACTGACATTTTTCGAACATTTGGGTGGACTTAAAATAGAATGTTTAGGAGTTCATATTTAAACTATGTGAAAACTAAATTTAAGTTCTCACAATGAAAACAGAATGATGCTATCATTATAACTGAACTCCCAGAAAGCTCAAAGTTATCTTAAGAGCCACAATTAACTAATATAGATTGATCTTGGTTCGTGGTTGAGAGAATGAGGAGAGTGATGACCCCAGTGAATGTACACTGTCAACGTGCTGATCTTTTAAAAATAATACTTTCAGTTTGTTAGTCACAGAAGAGCTGCAATGTTACTTATGCTGTGCAGCCTCAAACCAATGCTGCTGATGAAGCAAGAGATCACTGGAAAACGACCGTTAGCATGTTAAGCCTTCCATTAATGCAGGGGTGTCAAACTCAATCACAGAGGGGGCCAAAATTAAAAACTAGGTTGAATTCGAGGCCAAACCAGGTCAATATTTATTGAAAGTGTCTTACATTGACCATATTTAGTCAGACGTATTATGACTAATTATTCATACAGAAATATGAACTTTTCTCCCAAGACATCTTAGAATTCAGAACAAACCAAGCTGACACATTAAACAAAGAAATGAGAGATCACATTAAAAATAATACAAAACACATCAATGGCATTAATTTTTTTGTACGTCTAAAATATTAGTAAGGTGCGTATTGTTACACCCATAAGTTAGTAGTCTGTATAAATTCGGCATATGCTTAAGTTTATTAAATTCGGTGAGTGAAGCACACCACATGCTACTCTTTTGGTAAATCATGGAAGCGATAAGCACTGAAGTGGCGGTGAAGGAAGGGACAGCTCAGGAGCCTCGTGGATAAGGTGAATAACGTTAAAAGACGTTGGTGGTGTGGCGGTACTTTCTGCAGTTAAAAGTCCCACACATTTATTAAACATAAGGATATGCCGAATTTATGCAGATTACTAATATTTTAGGTGCACTACTAATCTGCTTAGCAAACTGTGAGCGTAAGTAAACATCCATATGGTACCAAAATGGTGACGTCCAACAAATGTTTCCCATGTTATCTAAAGCCCTCTTTGTTTCGCGTGCACCATATAATCACGAGTGCATGGCAATGTGATATGGTGCAGCCCTACCTTGATTGACATGCCAGCTATCGCTGTGCAATGTGGGATTTGTAGTCCCAATGATGTGCGTGCTATATACCAGCTGGCCAGTTCTGGTAGAAATAGGATATTATCAGGCATGGGTTGGATACAGCCACATCCGGCCCGTGGGCCTTGAGTTTGACACCCTTGCCTTAGTACCTCAGTTTCTGGATTTGATTTATCTGCCAGATGCATTCATGTGAACATCTTCATTTTGATGATTCATGGATGTGGATGATTCAATGAGTTCTGAATAGGTAATTCACAGAAAGTTTTGAATTTGAGTCTGTACTGAATAAAACAGGTGTCAGTACTCAGTACCTGCGGATTATAAGAGGTACACACCAGTACTGCGTACCGCTGGCCCACTTCAGGCACTGGTACTGCCAGCATTTGGCCCATATGGGATATAGAAATGTCTGGAACTACTTTCAGAATCCATATAGGTGTGGCCATAATGTCTCATGATATCTCAGCCTCAGAGCTGGATGATCGACAGGGGACTTTATCTGAATGCTAATGTTTAGGGGTTAGTTGCAGACCAGTGACCTCCAATTAATGCTCCAATGTTGAGGGAACATTTTCATGGCTATAGGGTGTGAATGCATGAAGATCTTTCTTTCAGGTGGCTAATGGAGATGGAACACAAAGTTCTAAATGTGGAGTGCACGCCTTTCAGATTAGCCTTGCTCCTCCTCCTCCTCAACTCTGTCCTCAATCGTCTTAACATGTAATGTAGCAAAGGGACAAAAAAAAAAAAAGATGTTTCTTTTAGGATTTTGTAACAACATAACTTTAGAAGCTACCTGTATATATGACTGTCAGTGCTTTGACCTTGTAGCAAAAGAAAAGAAAACGTCATCTTCCAACTTATCATTTAGTTTGAGTTAAACCACGTCTCTGAGACCGGCCACTTATGGACTGACTCATAATTAACCGTTTTGTCTAATGCTTTTCAAAATTTTATTTTCAAAATCCATTGTGCATTGCTTTTTATGGAGCTTTATAATTAGTTTTCCTTTTGGGGGGTTTATTCGCAAGCTCAGCCAAAGGGCAGAGAGTGGCTTTTTACTGTGCTGGACACCTTCAACACATGAGCCACTAGCTGCTTCTCCTAAACTTATTCCTCATGGGTACTTATAGAAGACTCATAAATATCAGGGCGTTTCTGGATAAACCCCTGCCTTCACATGGAAAGACATGTTATCTATTTCTGATACATGGAAGTCACAGGAAGTGAGGCGTTGAGAAGCTTCGCCATGATGTGGGTAGCTGAAGTCATTTTGGTCCGACAGCGCCGAGGTCCCTGTGTGAAACCTCACCGGTTGTGGTTCTGCCGGATTTGCCGCGTGAGTTTGTGCGTCATTACGAGGCCGTTGTACTGGCTGGGATTCACAGATCAGGAATTTGGCCAGAAAAGCACATCAATGCACTTATTACTCTCATCACGCTTCATCATCCTGGACTGAACCTACTGCATGAGTGTGAACCTACTGTAACGTGTAGCGTGATTGCATTGATGTTTAAAACAAACAGTCAGTGGCAGATGAGGGTAAATGTCCCAATATGGGCTGTTTTGTTGATTAGATATTCGGGTCTGTTGCCTAAATGAACTGCATTTCATTCCTCAAGCATCCAATATTACAGTGTGGTCAAACTATTTGTTTGAGTATGAGAGCTGGCATCAGAATGGCAGGCTGAATAACCACAACTTGTTGACCCATCAAGAGGTGTGGAAGAGCTGGACTTTATTAAACTGAATGTTACATTTTTTTTTTCTGATCACATTTTCATCTTAATTAAAAAAAAATGTTTTGGGACAGTTGTGCAAAGGGATCATGTCCGAGTTACATTGTTAAGAGATCCAAATGCCATTTTAAACAACAGATATCTGCTTCTACACACAACCTTTCCTGTCTTGAGGACAAAAATCAAAACAAAAACCAAGCTTAATTTTTTTAATTTCGACCGTGTTCTAATTCTGAAGCCAATGCAGATTGCTAAATAGTCACAAGTGTTATGTTTTGCAAAAAAAAGAGAAAAAAATGGTGTAATGGTGATATATAATGTAACTGACGTGCAAATGTGATGAATCATAAATGTTGTCAATGCATGTCACACTGCTGTGTTTGCAGAGCTGGTTGTAGGAGCTAAATATGTTTCCTGGGGGAAGGGGAGGTCCATTTTTTAAGAAACAGAACCTTTTTGCCCTAATTAATCACTTGTATAACTTTGTTTATATTTTGTACGGGAAACTTTGATTGCAAAGAGTGTAAATATTTACTGCATCCGCGACAACAATCACATCAAATCACACCTAAGAAGAAATCTGCACGTAGATTGTATGGTAGGCTCATTTTTATCACTTCTGTGCAGGAGAGTCCCGCAAGGCACATGACGGCATGTTCTCAAAACGGCAACGATTCCATATTAACATTGTTCATTTACTTCAATAAAGTAAGGAAAGATATTGTTAAATCAAATGTGTGTTGTTGTTATTTGATCACACAGGCTACACACAGGATCGCACAGATTACCGACTGTCTCATTGGGTGCGTTCGACTTGGGCTTAGGTCTGTCTGCAGCTGACGTGACGTGGAGCGAGATTAACAAAAACAAAACTTTGGGTTACTTGACATAATCCCTGGTTCTTTGATAACAGAGTGAGGTGTTTCACTATGGGAGTCGCTTTGGGCGTGACCAACTACGGAAGCTCCAATGACACCACGTCCGTCTGTGATTGACAGGTCGACCTGCGACCAGGCTCCGCCCCCTGCCCTGCTAATGCGGTCGACCTCCCTGATGGCTCATTCTAAAAGGGTTTCTGTGCAAGACGGGAAGTGATGGCGAAACACTGTTATCAAAGAACCAGGGATTACATCAAGTAACCCAAAGTTCTTTTTCTAACTTCACTCGGTGTTTCACTATGGGAGATATGGACTGCTCCCGGACTGCGCCGCAATCTCCCCAGACTGCAAACTACAAAGATCATTTCTCAGATCAGCTCTGCAGCATTAGCCTCCAGAACCGCATGTGCCAATTTGGACAGCACCGCATGTGGCCGTGCTTCTGGTAGAATGGGTCCTCAAGCCCTCGGGAGGCTGAGAGCCCCTGCATGTATAAGCTAAAGAAATAGCCTGTACAATCCAGTGAGAGAGCCTCTGGCGGGACAGCGGCTTGCCCTTCCAGGGGGGGGGAGCCCAGGACACAAACAACTGATCGTGCTTCCTGAAACCTGCTGTCCTGTTTATATACTCATGTAGGGCCCAAACTGGACACAATGTGTTTAGCTTGTGTTCCTCAGCAGAGGACAAAGGAGGGGGGTGGTAGGCTGTCAGCTCCACCTTAGAGCACCTGTAGGTCGAGACCACAACCTTAGGCACAAAACCAGGATTAGGACGCAGGCACACTTTGGTAAGTCCCGGACCAAACTGCAAACAAGAAGAGCGGACAGACAGGGCCTGCAAATCGCTCACTCGCTTTGCTGTAGTCAGAGCTAAAAGCAGCGCTGTCTTAAGAGCAGCGTTCAGGTTCCACCGCTCAAAGGCCAAGCCCAAACTGCTATGTTGTCTGAGTGGGGATGGTAGATTTCCCCTCTCGCCTGTGACAAGAGATCCCTATTTCTGCCACTCAGTGTCTGGATGGCCAATGTGGGGCTATCAGAATCAACGACAGACCCTGCTCCCTTACCCTGGCTAAGGTGGAGGAAATTAGACTCAGGGGAGGGAAAGCAAAGAGGAGGACGTTTGGCCATGAGTGGGCTAGAGCATCCACACCCAATGGTGCATTTTCTTCCCACAGGGAAAAGTACAGTGGGCAATGAGTGTTTTCCTGCGAGGCAGAGAGATCTACGGTTGCCCGTCCGAATCTCTGCCATATCTGCTCTACTACCTGTGGGCGAAGCTGCCACTCTCCATAGAGGGGGTTTCCTCTGGACAGCAGGTCTGCCCCCCTGTTCAGGACACCCGGCACGGAAAGACAAGAGCTGCACCACACGATCAGCTTCCTGGCTAATTGGTGCAGCCGGAGAGAGCGAGTGCCGGCCTGACGATTGATGTAGGCCACCACTGTTGAATTGTCCGATTCCACCAGAACATGTTGACCCTGGAGAAAATCCAGGAAGTGTTTAAGTGCTAGAAACACTGCAAGCAGTTCCAAATAGTTTATGTTCATTGCGCCTATCTTGGGGGGAGCACACACCATTCACAGCCCTGCCCATCATGGTTGCACCCCACCCTGACTGGGACGCATCTGTCATCAGTATCACTCTCAAGGACACCCCCCCCCCCCTAAAGGGATGCCCGGCTTGAGAGCTCCCCTGGTACACCACTGGCGAAGCGCCTTCACACACGCCGACGTCACCTTCACCAGCCGGCTGAGAAAACGGCGAGGGCAAAGACCTAATTGCGCCACCCAGCGCTGAAAGTCCCTCATCACGAGGAGACCTAGCTGCACCACAGATATCATTAACGCCATTAGCCCCAGCAGACGCAGGCAGACTCCGTACGCACTTTCCCTAACTGAAAGCGGGCGAGACCTTGCATAAAAGACACTATCCTCCTCTCCGATACCGTAACTTCCTGTGTGCGGGATTGATCGTCACTAACCAATCGCCTGGACGAATCGACTGACGGAGGGTTTTGTGTGTTAACATCCTGAAAGGGTACTTTCGGAGATGACTGTTTAACACACGGAGGTCCAAAATAGGGCGAAGGGAAGAACCCTGTTTTTTTTGGAATGACAAAGTAACGGGAATAAAAACCCTGCCGGCTTTCCCTTTCTGGGACAACTCTGATCGCCCGCTTGCGTAGCAAAGACGGGATCTCGTCCTCTAGGACCTGAGCTGAATCGCCGACGGCTACAGAAACCGTTGAACCTGGGTGGCCTCATAGCAAACTGTAGCCTGTAACTTCGAGAAACTGTGGACAAATCCCATGGGTGCACCAAACATCAACGCCACTTCATTACCTGAGCAGATAGCAGCCCCTTAAAAAGTCCTACATCTGTGGCGCCTGGTGATGACGTCACCTCCACCCCGGGGGGGAAGAAACTCCAGACTGAGGAGCAAGAGCTCCCCCTGGTGATGGAGTTTGGGAAAGATTTTTTTATATCTTTTATTTTGAACGGTGGGGAGCAAGTCACCCTTGGCTTTCGGTCTGGCTGCTACAATGCATTCTTTATTTTTGTTTCCCCCGAACTGAAAAGTGCTTGGGGACGGGAAAAAGCACTATAACTTAAACGGGGTATGACAAATTAGTGTAAATTTTTTAAATCAATAAGATTTAAAGAATAAAACAATTTAGCTAGCTGTCTATGGTCGGTTTATATTAAATAAGATGGACCGGTTTATTTAATTACATTTAATAGCTGTAGGAACTACTGAGCGGTATGTATCAACCTACATCAAAAACATTTTTAAAAACTTTGGTGAAATAATGCCTTAGTTAATAGATAATTTAAGGGATAAAAAACATTAGTTGTGCTAATTGTTAACGTGCTATTTAAATAAATGCGTTATTTTCTAACGGTAAAAAAAAATGGTCATGAAGTTTTAGACTGAATTGATGCGCTTTACAAGTTTAGCCTGTTCAGGAATCTAATGTCCGCAGCAGAGTTCGAACTGGCCCCGGACGGCACGCTAGCTATTGTGTCGTGATCGATAAGATCAGCCAAAACGGCTTCATTAGCCTTTAAAAAAATAAAAACACATTACCTGTGTTTATTAATGTACTGTTTTAAAAGTGTTTTCAGGGTAATAAAACTTTTAGCAGCGTGATTTTAACGGTGCTCCGGACTCGTCGATCTTTTCTAGCTAGAGATTAAAGAGGGTCTGACAGTTTTAAATGGAAAAAAAACATTAGTTGTGCTGTGCCCAAAGTGACACATACTGTACTCTCTCCCAGAGCCCTAAAAAATGACTTCCAGCAGGCCACTGGTGTGATTGTCTCTGACCAAACAGATTTCATGAGGATGGCCTCAGACCTCAACATCCTCTAGTGGGCCCTGTGCTCACTGCCCAGCACCGTAGAGCTTTATTGGCATTTGCCATAGAATACCAGGATTGGCAGGTCCGCCACTGGCTTTTCACTGATGAGAGCAGGTTCACCTTGATCACATGTGACAGACATGAAAGGGTCTGGAGAAGCTGTGGAGAACGCTATGCTGCCTGTAACATTGTTCAGCATGACCGGTTTGGTGGTGGGTCAGTGATGGTCTGGGGAGGCATATCCATGGAGGGACACACAGACCCCTACAGGCTAGACAGCGACACCTTGACTGCCATTAGGTATCAGGATGAAATTCTTGGACCCACTGTCAGACCCTACGCTGGTGCAGTGGGTCCTGGGTTCCTCCTGGTGCACGACAATGACCGACCACATGTGGCGAGAGTATGCAGGCAGTTCCTGGAGGATGAAGGAATCGATACCATTGACTGGCCCCCATGCTCGCCTGACCTAAATCCAATAGAACACCTCTGGGACATTATGTTTCGGTCCTTGCGACGCTGCGAGGATGCACCTCAGACTGTCCAGGAACTCAGTGATGCCCTGGTCCAGATCTGGGAGGACATCCCCCAGGACACCATCCGTCGTCTCAATAGGAGCAGCCCCGACGTTGTCAGGCATGCATACAAGCACGTGGGGGCCATACAAACTACTGAGAATGATTTTGAGTTGCTGCAATGAAATTTCAGTAAAATGGACTAGCCTACCGCATCATTTTTTCACTTTGATTTTCGGGGTGTTTTTAAATTTAGCCCTCTGTATCTTAATAATTTTCATTTCCATCAAACGATGTGGCATCCTTTTGTTCTTAACACATTACCCAGTCCATATCAGTATAGATATCCAGCAAGATTTTTTTTCCATTGAGATCTGATGTGTTTTCAAAGTGTTCCTTTCATTTTTTTGAGCAGTGTATGTGCATTGTATATTTATATTTTATTAACATCTACATTGATGGAAAATATGAGCAGTTCTTTACTTGTTCTTTTTATATCTTGCTCTGTTCACTTGGTTTTCAACTAAATAACTGGTTGAATGTTTGTGGCTTGAGAGTGAAACAAAAACATCAAAGAACTTGTTTGTATGTCAGTTTAGGCAGAAACGTCTGCTAAATAAATAAGTGCAAAGGTAACTATATTTTTATAAGTTTGGCTCAGTGTGACCTGCGCTGTCGCTGAGCGATTCAGTGGTTTTGGTATCTTTGACAATAATCGACACACCATAGCCTCTGGCCTGTGACCTGTGGCCATGCATCAACCACACAATGTTCTGCTGAAATCTTTTAAAAGTATTTCTGAGTTCCGCTAAAGTTATTTTGTTCCTACGCTTGTGATCAGTCTGGAATCTTCTCTAAAGTTTCGTTTTGTCTTTAATAGATTCATCCCTCTATTCATTATTCTATAATTTCTCCCTATATTCCCAGTCTCAGCCACCATCCCACAGCATGACACCACTGCCTCCCTGCTTCCCAGTAGTGA